CACACACACACATATATACACACACATAATACACACATTTCTGATTCTAAGACATGAAACACGGTCTATTTAGGGAAATCATGGATCAGCGACGGAATCTGAAAGTGAGACTCACACTCCCCCCACATTCTCTATCCCAGTTCTGTCTATAATCACAAAATGCTTTGGAAAATTGCCTTTTTTTTTTTGTCTGGAAATTCCCATTATGTTAGCTTTTTCAAAGAAACTATGGGGAAAATCTTTAAAACTGCAACTAAAGAACATGGCCATGTAAATAGAGAGATGTGCATTGGCTATATTTTATCATTTTACACAATGTTTCCTTTCCCTCCTAAGTTTTAGTTGCACAGTTCTGTCTCCATTATATCTGATTTAAAGATGGAAGTATTATTGATAAACCTCAAGTCCTATATCAAGAAGAAAGCACAACTAAAATAATTAAAATACTGTGTATTTTTATAAACTTTATTTTAATTGCCTTGTATATGTACTTGTAAAATACTCTCTATTCCCCAAAATATATATTCCCAAATCATAATTAATTACACACTTCACATGTTTTCTGCTCAACATTTGTTTTTAAAGATTATTACATTTGGCACAAAGGGCCTATATTTTAACTTAATACACTATTTTCCAGAATATGAAAGAACCATACTTTATTTACCCATTCCATTATTGGATAAACATGTTGGTAGCTTTCAAATTTGTTTTTTTTTATATACTTTAAAGAATAAGTGCCTATGTTTTGTGTACTTACACAATGTTTTATTCCAGGTTTTACATGGAAAAGTGGAATTACTGCATCAATTTATGTGAAAATTTTTAAAAGCTTCAGTAGATGAGGACAAACTGTACTTCATGTTGGCTGCACCAGTTTTCACTCCCACCAGCAGGAGAGACCTGATGTTTCTCAGCACAAGTACAAGACTGGTAGCTCAAGGTCTAGATCTCCACTACTCAGTTTTGCCCATACGATTTTTGTTTTAATTAGAATGTGAATTCCTTTTAGCAGGAAATATTTTCTCAAATTTACAAGCAGCACTTCTCTGTATTGTCTTATACCTTCCTGATATTTGTAGGCATTTGAGTATGTTACCTATGCCTAAACGGATGCCCTACGTCATTATCCCAACCAGTATATCTTTGAAAGCAAAAGGTCACACTAGAGCAGCAGACACAAACCTGGGTTGCCCTAGGCAAACAGAAAGTATGGTCACCCTAAGAACTTAAATATATCTATCATTTCATCCACCTCTCCAAATACCAGTGATATGGAGTGTTTCTACACAGATTTGCCATTTGTGTTTCCTCTCCTTTAAACTTTTTATAATCCTTGTCCATTTTTCTATTGGTTTGTATTTTTTTAGTGAATTTTAAGGATTCTTTTTATGCAATATGTCCTATTTTATTGGTTTTATGTGTTGTTAATTTCACTACTTGCTCTGACACTTGCCTTTTTCTCTAGGTATATAATGGCTTATGTCAAATGAAAGTTTTAAATTCTAATGTTATTTGTGTAATTTCAATTTTTGTGTTTGCATTTTAAATATTATTTAATAATGTCTTCTACACCCTTCCCTTTCAGATCATGAATATATACTTCCACTTTTATCACCATTTGTTTTATTTTATTTCTTAAGAATAGAGTTTTAATTCATTTGATACTGACGGAGAAATCATTTGAGGTAGGGTTTGCCTATTTATTGGTTAGAGCTATTAAAGCTCTAACCAATATTTCGTTCTCTTTTCCCCCATAATATTTATTTTTCAATAATTTGAGATCTAAAAAAGGGAAGAAGATAGAGAAGAAAACGTTTCTTCTTCAGAATAAACTCTGATGTAAATTACTTTTCCTCCTAGAACTTTGATAGCATAAACCAACATCCTTCTTTGATCTGTGAGGACTGTAGCACAAGGGATTTATTAGGAACATGAAAAACAACATTTTTTCATTCTCCTCTAAGTCTTCCCTTTCACCTGGGTTTAAACTGTACTAGTCACAGTAGAAAATGTGAAGGAAATTGTACAAATGAATAGAACATAAGGTAATAAGAAAAAAAAGACTTTCAATGTAGGGTTACTGGAATAAAACTACTTAGTGGGCACAATGGCTGACTAATATGAAGTAAACGTTCATACTTATATTAAAGGAAAGTTTTTTTAAAAAATTAAGGTAGAGTTCTTTGTTTCCACTTTGAGTGGGATAGCTAGTGGCAGTATACTGCTCCATACAGCACTACTAGAAAAGTCAGATGAAATGCAGAATTCATTATTTTAAAGAGAGCAGAGAGCTGACGGAACCGTGAAAACCAAAAGGCTCAAACTCTGTATAGGGAAGAAAACAAAATGAAAACTTAAAAGCAGGTAACAGGTTTTTACAGATGATTTTACTCAGTGTACTTTCCAGTTCTGTGCATGAACAGGAAGCTGAATCCCGTACCAATCCCAGAAGAAATCTGCTGTTAGGAGGTGGAGAAACCAGCAGCTTTCCAACATTCTGGATGATTGGTAGCAACTTCGAGGATCTCAAGGACATGGCCTGTAGGTACCATTGAGATTCACAGGGTACCAAGGCAGAAACAGAAAAAAGAAAGGAAATATATCTAAGCAACATAATTTAAACACTTGACCTAAAAGCCAATACAGAATACTTTATCCAACACGACAGAATTCATTTTTTAAAGCACATAAAATTGACTGTATATTCTATATAAACTTCATGTTTTTTGATGTTTCTGTAAATGGTATTTTTTAAAACTTAACTGTATATTTGAAAATGAAATAGAAATGCGATTATTTGTATGTATATTGACCTTAAATTCAGTGACATTAATTCACTTAGTAATTCTAATAGTTCGGTTCTTGGTTCTTTTGTATTTTCTATATGGAGAAGCATACCATCTGGAAATAATTAGAGGTTTACTTCCATTTTTTTCCCTCAAACTTCACGCCTTTTATTTCTTTCTATAGCCTCATTACACTGCCTAGGGACTCCAAAACTTTTAAACGTAAGTGGTGATAGCCAGCATCTAGTCATTTTCAATCTCAAGGGAGTATTTTCAAAAATTCATTATTAAATAATATATTTACTGTTCTTTTTTTCCAAGACAGTTTTGACAAAATGAGAGAATTTTCCATCTATTCCTACCTTGCTAAAATTTTTATCATGAATGGATGTTGAATTTTACCAAATGTATCTAATGTAATGATGATATCATTTTTCTCATTTATTTTCTATATATGTAAATTGCATTGATTTATTTTTGAATGCTAAATCATTCTTGCCTTCATGGAAAAGCCCTATGTGGATAAAATGAGAGTTCCTGAGGCCAGGATTCTCACCTGGCCGTGGCTGACTAGCTCACTGCACACCTGTGGGCAATACATGGCTGTTGACTCTAAAAAGAGCTCCGCCCAGTGCTCTGGGCACAACACGGTGGCAGGGCTGCAAGGCTGCAGGAGAGCAGAGCAGAGGCTGGAGTGGTGGCAGCCTGAGGACAGAGGCCCAGAGGATGGCTGTGCGGACAGAGGGGCCCAGAGGCAGAGACTGGCTTGCTGCATGCAGAGTGGCTCTGAGTGAACGGGACATTAGTGACTGACCTGCCACCTGGAAGTAAAGTTGGGTATAGCCCTTTCACCCCAAGAACATTTTGCTGTCATTTTTCTTTGGTCACACTGAATGCATAGCGAACTTGCCTGGGGCTGAAACCCATTGGCAAGACACCCTACTTGTTTGAAGTTTATCATTCTTTAATGTATTGTTGGGCTTGTTTTGCTAAAATTTTGTTTTGTATTTTTGTATTCAAATTTATGAGAAGACCTTTTCTAGGATGTTATAAGACACAAAACTTTTCAGACTAAGTTTTGGTATCAAGTTTTTGTTGATCTACTTTAAAAAGCTGGTAAATGTGCTCTTTGTATTTTCTGGAAGTGTCAGTATCAGTATAAGATTGGTATCACTTATTCCTAAAATTTTTGGAAGAATTTACCAGTGCAATCATCTGAGCCTGCAGTTTTCATTGTGGGAGAGATTTTAATGCTGGATTCAGCATTCATTAATAGATTAAGGAACTATTCCTACTTTAAATTCATTTTACTTTCATTTTGGTAATTAGTGTTTTTCATGGAGTTTTTCATCTCATCTAAACTAGGAAATATATTATAAAGCTGTTCATAATCTTTTTAGCTTCTGAATGTTTATAAAGCCTCTAGGCAAACCTCCTTTTGTGCATTAAATTGGTAATACATTTTCTACTTATTTTTTATCTTTCTATGAATTTTTTCATCTGTATTAGTGTTTTCAAATTATAAATTTTTGACTTTGTTGAGTTTACCAATTATATACTTATTTCCTCTGTTCACTGTTTCTGCCCTAATTTCTACGGGTTTGATTGTTCTTTCCTTATAAACTTCAGAGGAAACAAAAATTATAGCTGTTGTTTTGCCTGTTATTTTCTAACATACGTATTTAAGGCTGTACGTTTTCCTCTAATCATGGTTTTTAGCTGAATATCTCAAATGTTGATATGTTGAGTTTTCAATTCTCAGTTTACATTTTTTTCTAATTTTTCTAATATAGAAAAATACATTACTTAATTTCCAAGCAATTGTGGGTTTAGGTTTTTTTTTTCCCCTACCATAATTCCTTTGTGGTCATATTAGAAAAGTATCAAGAAAAGGAGACAAAAAACCTCAACAATTTAAATTTGCTTAAAAATAGGACTACTGCCTTTGATTATATACACATGTATACACATACATATATAATTTTTTGAAAGATTATACCAAAATATCAGTTGGAACTAGTTTAAGCTAATAATGTGATTCTTATCTTTTAAAAAATCACTATTTTTCAAGTTTTATAAAATAAACATATTCCATTAAATTTTTAACCTATTTACAGGTCCTAATGTTTAACACTATCTTTTCATACACTGGTATTACCCTTACCACCTAAAGATTTTAACCTGAAACAATCTTTGCCAATTCACCACTAAATATATACCTACCAATGCTATTGATCCACCTGAGGAAAACAAACTCAACACTGGCTTTCAATCTGATGTCATCAGACATCTTTTCTCTGTGTCACCTTCCCCCCCACATTTCTTCCCAGCTGATGCTTCTTACTCTCAGGTTAACCTTATGAAATTTAACTCTCAGGTCTCACAATTTCAGTATTTTTTTCCTTTTAATCAGCCTATCTCTAACCTAACTTTCTTCCAATATAATCACTTTTGTTTAATATAATTTGTGTTTGTTATTCTTCAGTAAATTACTCTAGAAGGTCAAGCACTTCTACATTCCTGCCAACACACACACAATTGGACTGTTCATTCCAGCCCCATGTGGTGTTAGTAATTCGAGATTAGGGAATCACATAACCTTAAGTCTCAAATGGAAACAGCTGCATTCATTCTGTTTCAAGGCATTTACTACAGTATTTTATAGCTAACTTGCAAGTGGACAGATAGGGAAGCAAATACAAATATTCTTAATTTTTAACATTCTTGACTAGTTTTAAATATGTTTGGGTATGGAAGCCAAATTAATTAAAAATGAATGCTTCAATTTTCATAGCTTGAGGTCCATTCTAAATACAACGATCAGGCCACATAATTAAGTTCAAAGCTACTTTTGTTATGGTAATCACCCAGGGGATAAATCTAGGAGTACCAAGGATGGATACAGGATATATTTAATTCTATATCCTGACCAAACCAATTTTGAATCACCTAATGGATATACACCACCTGTTATATTGACAGATTTCCTTCAGATATATGGAACTAATGCAATAGTTTTTCAAATTTGCCCTATCAGTCATTTTGGGGAGCTGTAAACAACAAAATTAGTAGGCATTCCTTGGCATCATTTAATTAGAATCTGACTTGGGAAAACTGCTCCTGCCTAGTCCATCTTGTAGAGATAAATTCCTAGTGAAGAAAACATCTAGGAAAATTCATTCATCACCACGGACATATAATGAAAAAAATGGCAACTATGGGGGAAAGCTTCTGAAGAATGTCATTTCTGTAACTACAGAGCTACTTCTGTTATCTAACAATGCACCCTTTCTCACTTTTGTCTATGCAAGCGTCCTGAATTGAGATGAGAGTGGTAATATCCCTCATTAAACTTTCTTGGAACTCAAATGTCATTGACCCTGTCCACACACATAACTGAAATCCTGAGACTATGTGGATAAGTACATCAACATGAAATAAAGATCTTTCTGCTCAGTTCCTGGATTAACCTCTAGATGTCTAAAGAATGATAGCAGGTGACCCAAACAGAAGTTTGGAAAAACTCTTGTCCTTTAACCTTACGACAGCTGCAAATAATTAGGCCCAAATTGGTTTTACATCCTTCACCTCTATGAAAGAAAGAGAGGGTGGTTAAGAGAGGGAGACTGAGATAGAGCTGGACAGAAATGAGCTGGCTCTCAACTATCATAAACAACCAATTTCATAAAGATATCTTATCAGTTAACTATTAAATGCAGTAATTCAATGTTACAAAATTCAGTACTTTTTCAAAAACTACTGAACAGATTAAGAGCAATGCTCAATTTCCAAACAGACTATAAGTCACAAGTGTGTTCCTTGCAAAGGTATTTCTCCTCTAAATAAGTATTATAAACGATCATTCAACACAAGCCTCCTTGAATCACTATGTATGGAAATCTCTTAGGAAAAACACTACAAACTATCCATCATATGTAAGCACATTCCTCTCCAAAAGTATACTAAAAACTTCATCTTGTACAACCAGAAATGCATTCTTCTTTCTCTACTTCCCTCACAGCGAACACCTAAGGCAAATCAGGATGGCTTGCTAAGCAGTGTGACTCTCATTTTTTAGGGTAAAGATGCCATTAACCTGGACAGAGTCCAGAGTAGAATGGACACTCTGGACAGAAGAAAGGAAAGAGCTAGTAAGAATGCTGCTATAGTGCAAGGGTATTTAAACAGCATGAGAGAGATCATTCCTTCTTGTCCATTCCTTATCTCTATCAAAAGTTGGACACACATGTACAGTAGATCCCAATTGAAGATTTTAGACTCATCTATGTAAACTACATATTTATATTTTATAAAAAATGCACTTTAAGTATTTAGTATTTATTCAATACTATTTCTAATAATGTACAGAATACATATCTAATGATTCACAGATTTGGAATCATGTTCTACATACAATTTTGTACTTACTGTGAGTGAATAATAGGAATTTTCCCATGTGGTATTTTCTCATTTTAATTTGTGTACAGAAGCCTACAGTATTTCTGTAGTAGGGATTTAAGTCATTCCCTATTTGCACAATTATTACTGAATGTTCTTAAATATAACCCTTTGCAGACTGTCCAGTTTTATTATTATAAGTCAATACATATTTTAAAATTATTGATATATTAGTGTTTCTCAGTTCTGGCTGCCCATTAGAATTATTCTGGGAACTTCTTAAAAAATATTGAAACCTAGGGTCCATATTAAAGATTGTGGTTTGACTAATTTAGAAGAGAACCCAAGTTATTACTTTTAAAAGTTCCCCTGGTGATTCAAGTGTGAAGCTGCAGGCTGATACATAGATTACTAAGGGACATCCTTAATCATAATGCTAATTCACACTCCTCCAGCTTATGAACAATTGTCCACTCTGTCGAACATCATGTATTCTTATTTGAACCTTTGTCAAATAGGTGACAATAGTATCTCATTATCATATTTGTTTGTTTTTATTTCTAGTTGGAGTAAACATTTTTCAAATTTTTACCTGTTTGTAATTTTTCTTTTATGAATTGCCTCTTTATAGTTTGCTCCCATTTGTTTAATTGCAATGTGCAAGATTTTATTATTATAAATAATCATTCATGAGAATTATTTTGCCAAATAGAGGAAATCTATTATCTTTTCATTTTGTTGACAGGTTATATAAAAATATTAAATGATTGAACTATTTTTGTATAGTTTTCAATCATTCTTACTCTCATTCAAACCAAATGTCACTTGATATCACCATACTTTTTTGTTTTTTGTTTGTTTGGTTTGTTCCCACCCTCTTGAATTTTGGGTTCTGTGGAGATACTGTGTCACTTGTTAATGTTTTCCATGTGTTTATGGTTTTGCTATTTAATTGTTGTTTTAATGGGGAATTGAGATTAAAATTCTATCTGCCATACAACCATCTTCCCATGATTCCGCTCTGAAGCAGTTTAAATATGTTTGGAGTTTATTTTTCTTAAAGGTTTGGTCATATACTATTTGACACTACTTGGCCCAGTGTTGTTTTTGAATTAACTCTTTGGAAACTTTCTTTATGCCCTTTATGATAATTTGCCTGCCAGATTACAAGTTTTTCTGAAGTCAGTTTTGATAATTTATATGCTGTGACACGAACACTGAAATAAAGCTATTCAGCCTTGAGCAATAACAATCTCATAAATTTTTTAGTAAAATTAAAAGATTTAGGAAGAAATTAAAGTAGAATTCTAGCTACCTAGTGACTGCTTCATTTGTCTGAAATGACACATTTTTTTGTATTTTACCATCTTACATGGCCATTATATAGACAATATTCTGACAACAGAGAAGCAAGACATCAGATTTTAATGAAAGAATAAAAAGAACTTTACTGAACAAGTAAGATATTACTGAGAAAAAATTTATTGTTAAGGCTGACTTGGTATTATTTACTCTAAAAGAGAACAGGAAAAAGTTAATTACAAGAAATTCTGTATCTCCTAATATTGTTTACTTTATGAAAATTAGTACCAATGTGAATACCTGAGCAAACAATTTAGAACCATACTCATAAAAATAACTGATTACACACAATCAATAAATTTACAACACCTCCCCAAAAATGCTTCTCAGTTGTTAATAACACATACAGCAATAAATTGTTATTCTTTTGAAGTAATTTATTATATAAGACTATTATAGGACAAAGTTTAAGGTAACCAAAACAGGTGCCAGTTAATATCAATCTACTCTAACGGCTGCCTTACATCTGCATAACTTCTGATATGGCTTATTTAGGTCCCTCTATGCCAGTTTAACATACTGGCACAGTTTGGAAGGTTAGTCAGAAAATAAAACCATGGTATGATTATGAAATTTGTGTATCAAGAACTCACTGGCTCTGGGAAGTGGCTTATACAACTCCAAGTACTGCTCCCCATGAAGAACCTATATTAGGAAAAACAAAATTTTATTAGAACCTTGTTAAACGGGTTCTGTGTATACTGCTAATCACAGGTGATATTTCACTGTCCACATGCTCACATCACTACTTCCCCCAAATGATCTGACTCACTGAGGCGGTCCTGCATTTGTCCTCCCACCATCACCCCCACCTGTTTTTCCCTTTGGGTTCTGAGGAAGACAGGGAATTAAGCTGTCCCATGGCAGTGGGACGTGGGCATTTGGATATGTGGATCAGGTTTTGTTTTTCCTGTCCTAGTTTTCCCACCTTATGTGGGTATTCCTCCTTCGATATACTGAGGTTAAGTGACTATGAATTTCTACACTGTCCTTAGAATCTACTCTGTGTAGATAATTACAAAATATTATAATTAGGAAATACTGACACTGATAGTACTTTTACTTTGAACATGGCTGTAAGGTTTATCTTTCTATTTTAGTTGAGTTGTTTGTATTTGGTATGTGTGATCTGCAATTACATTATTAGCACTGGCCAATTTATTCATTTTATTCAACAGATGTTTATTAGATGTCCTATATGCACCAGTCACAGGGATAAGCACTGGAAACACAGCTTAGTTCAATGTTTCCATCAGCAAATAATCCATAATTACTAGTCAATGAGGATTTGAGTGTAGGGGAAGAACACAACTTTAAGTTATCTTCTCTGCTCCAAAAGAGCTGACAATCTTTATATTAGAGGACTGATTATTTCTGCATCATATGATTAAGAAGTAGAAGCCAAACTAAGCCCCAAAGCAAGTGAACCTCAGAGAGAGAATTAATAACATTATGCCGTAGTTATGGGACTGTACATAATTGCTTGCCTTTTCAACTATCATTTCTTTTATTCTTATGAAGAAAAATCACAAGATATGCTAAGTCCTTATTCCTGAGTCAACCACTACAAACTATTTTATTCACACACACACATACAGAGGATGTGATATTTATCTATCATATTTAAAGATATGGAAGAAAAGCAAAATTAAGGTTTTCTATTATGCATACCTTCGCAAAATTGATTGAAAGCCCAGGAATCTCTACTAATCCTCCACCCATGATGGATTTCTGTGCTATAATAACTCCAAAGGTAGGCAAACAGGAGAAATCAGAGCTTCCTTCATAAATAAATTTCAAATCTTCTGGATCCTTGAGCGATGCTCCCACTCCAAGGGCATACGTAATAGCTTCCAGTTTTGTGTAAGTAGAAGAAAATGGAGGAAATTTGTAGCCAATAGCTCTAGCCTATGGGACAGTTATACGAAACAATGTTTTACTGATATTATTATTTTGGTCAAATTCTTAAAATTTTAACTTTCAAAACTATTAAATGCTTACATACCTAGTTCTGCTTTTGAAAACATGAAAATAGAATGTCATTTCAGTGAATTTCATATAGTATCATAATTGTTTCATTATATTTGATTTTTTAATAGAAATCAATTTGAGAATGTGTAGAAAAGGACTTCATTTACAGATAAGTACTTTTTTTTTGCTTGCTTCTTGCTAAGTTTGTCTCATTTTCAGCTTTCCTGTCTCTGATGGTGGAAATCCTATTAATTCAGCAACTATCAGTCACTCAAAAATACAAAAAATAATGAATTTGTTATGAATAGGGATAGTGAACTGCCCTATAATATCTACCATTTAAAATTCACTGTAAATAAGCAAAGTACTACTAAGTGCTTGTAAATTAGACTGCCTCATAATGGTTTTAGTTAAAATGAGATTTCACCTCAAGTTCCTTCCCAGGAATGCCCTTTAACTAATTGGATATTATACTTTTCTACTTAGTGATGATAGGCCTAGCTAATGCGTGAAGCATGATCAGGTTATAAAAGAATGATGTCCAATTCTCAACTGCTTTCACTCTGAAATAGGAATAGGCAAACAACTCAGAGGTAGAATGGTTTTTACGTTTTTAAAGAGTAGTTTAACAAAAAAGAAAAACAGGAGGACTGTGACAGAAATAGTACATGGTCCATAAAGCCTAAAATATTTACTATCTGGCCCTTTGCCAAAAATGTTTTGTCACCCTCTATTCTAAAGTAAAATCATATTTATAAGCTGATCATATTTTCAGGTCTAAAACTAGATTGTTAATTTTTTCACTATGTCTGCCCTGGGTCACAAAACACTAGAATCAAGCCTGTCAAATAATTTATTTCTTATTTATGCACTCAATCAGCAACTTCACATCAGCTATTAGAATTTCTGACACAGTGGGAGGCTATTTGTAGCCATGTTGAACTATTTCCATAATTATAATGCATCAATGTTTTCCCTTAAATGACTTCAAAAAGGCACTGACATAAATATCCTTTTCCAAAAAGTTAGAAAGTTAGTAACTCAAGTAGGATTATCAAAGATACTCCAGAACAAACAAAGGAAGACACTCATCTAATACTGAAGAAGAGAAAGTAAAACTTACCCTTAATATTTTAGCCTTGTGGTCATTCAACTTGTATAGTATTTAATATATATTTCATGAACAGTTTTGTGGTCACTTATCTTTCTTATTTAACAATAAATTAATACCCTGGAAAATAATATTTTTGTATGAAAGAAAAGAGAAGAAAAGGAGAGAAGAAAAAAGAAAAAAATCCCAGAGAAGGCACAGCTTCAGGCTTTTTTCCCCCACTTACAAATCCTAATGTGGCTGTTGATGCCACATGACTGGTATCATTTGTTGAAATTCCTCCATCTGATTCTATCTGACTCAGAGCTCCAATTATATTGCTAACTGATTCTAAATAATAATAATAATAATAATAATAATAATAATAATAATGCTTTTGTTAAAGACATGACTAAGAAAAGCTACAATGTGCTAGATAATTACTCCTATAGCATTCAGCACTGAATGTATGATGTCAAACTATTATAGGAAAAAAGTGTGAAAGACTTTGAAATAGACCAAATATAACTGGGTATTTTCAATGGAAAACAAGACACTGTCCAACATCCTGTTTACAGTTTATAATTCTAAGGAAGCACTGAGCTTTGCAATGTCTTTGAGCAATTTTATGCCTCTGTAAGGTGGGATCCTTGTCCATAGAAATGCAGTGTCTGTCCATAGAAATGCTGGTGGAAGCACAACTAATTTCCCTTCTCTCCCCACCTTCCCCCTGCTCCAGGATGGAACAATGCCAAGTCACCAGCCCCTCAGGTCTCTATACTATCATCTATGCAGTAATAGCTCTGAATATAGTACTGAAAATTATTCCAGAGAAAACCATCATTATGACAAGTGTGGAGACGTTGGGGTTCCTATGGCCAGGATCCTCACTGAACTTAAACCTTCTGCTGATGTAACTGGCCTGTTGCTAGGCTACTGCTTCCACACCCGTAGGTAATAAGCTATTATTGCACTATATAGAGAGCTCGGCCCACTGCTCTGGGCAGAGGCAGAGCACTAGTGCTCGACCTACTACCAGGTAATAAACCTCTTTCATCCCAAGAACGTTCTATTGTCTTTTCTTTGGTCACACTGAAACCATAGTGAACTTGCCCGGGGCTGGAATCCATTAGCAAAAAACCACAAGTGATTTCCAGACAGGATTCAGAAGTCTAAAGCATTAATAAAGGATGCTCGTGGAGCATCTGCATATGCTGTATGAGACTAAAGGCGCTAGGACAAACCTTAGAGATACGGGCCTCCTTCCACACTCCGACAAAGCCAAACTACGGAATGTGAGATGCTAGGGGTAGATTCCATTCCTGGTGACGCCCGTAAGTAGGCTTCTTGCCAACTAACCCTCCCCTTACCACCCATTCAGGTTGCTGCCTAGAGGGGAGCTATTTAACCAAAAGTCCCCTTTGCACAGGCTGAAAGTGCTGCATTCAGAGACACACAACCTGCTCTAACCCTTGGCTCAAATTCAGAGAAAGCTGTGGCCAGTTATTAGGTGCTCTGGGATTTAGTCCCATCACCTGTAAAATGAGAACACTGAACTAGGTGCTCTGGAAAGGCTCAATTCCATAGAAAATGTGAAATTATTTTTCTAACTGTACTTCAAATACTAGAGGTCTCTTCTCACTTATAATTATGTAATTTATTTAGTTAACTTTTTCTTTATATTAGTCTAATACTTTTAAGGTAATAAAGTAGAACTCTGATGTCAGAGGACATTTTTTAATATATTTCTTCTTCCTTCCATTCATTTTCATTGATAGGTGACTGCTATTCATAGACTAAATTTATCTCAAATACAGAGTAGAGAAAATGCTACTATAACATAACAATCATGTATCCTCTAATTGAGAAAAAGCATAATGAAAATTTCAGTGAGTGGACCAGCAGGCAGAAAAGTGTTATTAAAGAGAGGAAAAAAAAGTCATTTTTCATATATATTCTTCTATCACACACTGAATATAAAATTACTAAGAGGAATATAAAGATTTTTCCTGATTCATGATCTTTCCCGAAAGAACCTCTAAATTTCATATGCTACATGCATATGTGAGCTATACTAGAAAAAATCATGTGAACTTTACTGGTTATCTATTCCTGTGGCATGTCATAGACAGTTCAATAGTTCAAAGTAACAAGCATTTTCTAAGTCCTTTTTATTAGTTCAGCACTATGACAAAAACAAATATAGAAGTATATATATGAGATACAGCTCTGGCTCCAAACATACTATGCAGTTAAGAAACCACATACTTAGGAAATAATAACAGTAAAAAGCCATTAAAATTAGATGCTTAAGTGCTAGGAGTTCAGTTAAGAGAGAGATCTAAGTAGCTCAATAACTGGGGAGGTTTAGTTGCCTACCTGGGCTTGAGATTTTCTAAAGAAGCGTTAAGATTAGTAGAGGCAATAAAAGGAGGAAAGGGCATTTTTGAAAGGGAGAGAGATAGCAGCAAAACAGAAAGTGCTAAAACAAAGCAAAAATCTATTCACTGAGATAGGCTTAAACTTTTGGGGATAAAGGAAAATAAGGTGAAATAAGGAACACATGGTTAGATAATGGAAGACTTTGAAACCAACTCTCAATTGCAGAGTAGATGCACTCAGCACAAATGGATAAATACCTCATACCATCCAGCAACCACACATATGCCAAAAAACTAGGGTTATAAAAGAACTAAGAAACTACAGTGGGAACGCATATGTATCTTAAATTCAAAGAGTTCTAATACCTACTAGAGAAGAAAAATGTTCTCTAGATAATTCAAATGTCTAAGTCCCCACAGTTAAAATAGAAGACAATTCCCAAAGAGACGAGAAGGCTCTGTTGCCTCTGGTTCCCCAACCAGGACTGACCCGGCCTGGGCCTCTTTACCTTGAATTCTCTGAGGCTTGCTGGCATTTACTGGTTATAGAAACAAAACTAAGGTACTGAGTACACAGTTTAAGAGGGAGACAGAAAAAAGTAAAATTCTGATTTTTTTTTAACCTCAAGAAAAAGGGAATTCTGGGGGGAAAAAGGTCCTAACTTCTAAAGAGTTTTACTATAAGCTTCAAAATGTGTTTTTCCTAAAATAATAAATCTCATTAGGATGTCAATTTTTAAAAATATATTTGAAGCTGAAGAGAGAAACTTCTCTGACTATGCCAGACACTACTAACTGCTGAATGAAATGCTGATTCAAAAGACGTTAAATTATAAATAATTGTGCCAAAGAATGACTCCACGACCACAGACCACTCGGGTAAGAGAGTTCAAGGAAACAGAAGAGAGCTTTGTGGGATAGCAAACTGACGACTAGTAGTGATAACAGGTCAAAGGGTCAGACAACCAAGTATGTCAGTTCACTCCAAATAATTCTTCCTCTTCCTCCCTTTGTTTTTCCTTTTCTTCCACAGGAAGTCAACTAGAATGCACAGCACAGATTCACAAGTATCATTATTGCTGCCTAAGTTTCATGAGGAGAATTTTAACACTGATTTTCTTTCTAAAAAGGCCAAGGAATAAACTACCACTAGTAACTTCATTTAAACATAATGGTCAGACTTTGGTGATCATTAAATTGAATATTTGCCTTGAGGAATGACAAAATGCTGCTTCTAGAGCTTTCCTATTGATAAAGTCCCAGATAAAGCTTTTATTGCACAAACTTATCTTCTTTCCTAAATGGCTATAATTAAAACACTTGAAAATCTTCAGGAATATTACTTTAATAACTGGAGAAAAAGTCGCTGATGATGAAATGTTGATTCTACAATATATTGTAACAATCCCCTCCAGTAAGGGCAACCCTTTAAATAATTCAGTTAATTTTCATATGA